TGCTCCAAATTGCACTTTCTTGCCACTTTAGCCAATTGAACCTACAAACACACGAAAATAGCTTAAAATACTAAAATAACTAGAAACTAACTCACTAAATACAAAGAATTAAACTAACAAAGTCGCATAAATATGCTCCTATCAACTACGTATAAGTATGAAATCAAAGATAATTCAACAATAATTCAATAAATACACAAATCATAATATCCCAACTGTGGCATAAGAAAATCAAGTGCTCATCAATCTTTGTTAAAACACAAGTTCATGCAAAGGGATTCTAACATGAACAGGACTGGGTGTAATCATAATATACGCTCTAGTACTACGATCACGTGAAGACTGGTGTTAGGCGCATCACATACAAGTCCTAATTGCCTATTGTAACCAGGGATAGGACTGGAACCTACAATGGATCCAAGGTGAGCGTGCGGTGCAATGTGAACATACATGCGAAGCTCTAGCCCTGGTCCTGGGGCGAGTACTACACCAGTGCAACTAGGAATGATGAGCAAGTAAAATGTATATGAACATGCCATGACACTTTTTAAATCTCAACAATTTAATAGCACTTTTAAAATGAAATATAACATGGCCTGATAGGCATAATATTAATCTAAAAGCATTTGTGGAAAGTATAAAACTTTATATATAATATATATAAAAACAAATGCCCACTCACTGATACGTGGTCAGGTCGTAGCCTCCAAGCCTTGCTTGACCTCGTACTTCCTCGGGATAATTCTCTCCTATATGTGAAACATTAATTAGAACATACATGAAAAGGCTAGGAAAATCCCCCATAGTTTGCTCAAATGAAGGGTTTAAATATACAAAAATGTTCTACACGACATCACAAACCCGTACACGTCAACCAAGCGTCGCCACCAAGCAGTATGCACCCTCACACGCCACCACATGCCGCTAGCTCGCGGCCACATACGCGCCCAAGCGCAGGCCACCCACCTGCATGCTCTAGCAGATCCCCAGGGAATATTTTGTCAGATTTGACGAAATACTCAGTTAAAAATAACGACGTCAGTTAACGGCGTTACCTTAATGGAGTCAGAATATTTTGTTAACTTTAACGGCAAATTCCTCCTTCTCCAGTAGACCTCTGCTACCGTCGGTTCGCCGGAATCTGGAAAATTTTGATCGGATTTTGTAAAAACTTTAAAACTTCATAACTTCCTCAGTTCATAACTATTTTTGACATACTTTATATGGAAATGAATCTCAAGAAGAGAATAACAAGATTGTATCGTTTAAAAGTCCAAAAAAGTGGACAAAAATGGACTAAAAATGCCTCGAAGATCTCGGCCGTATATCAAACATCCCAAAGTCGCGTGTTTACATGTTGGCTTGACTTCAAACTTAGGCTAGGGACCTCAGGGAGTTATGTAGTTGCTTCTAGCCTTCCAAGACCTTGCAACTCGAACGGAAAGTCGCGGGAGAACCTACACCCGAGTCGGAGCTCCGAGTTGGAAGCTCAAAACTCGATCATTTTTTTAATTGGCTCGTATGGATGGACTCGTGAAGATGAGACAAGTACGATGGTGGTGATTTGAGGTTCGATCCGTGAGGTTTGATGATGGTTCTTTGTTGTTGCAGAAAAAAGAGAGAGACTCGGCATGAAGGAAAGAAGAAGAAGAAAGAGAGAGAGAGAGAGAGAAAGAGAGAGGGGAAAACTTCTGATTGGACAAGAGAGAAGGTTTCTGATTGCGTGAGAGAAGTAAGGGGAAAAGCTGATTGATGGGTGTGTTAAGGTCATGGGACCAGTTTTTAAAGAGAGGGAATCATATTTTATACAATTTTAAAGTACACAAAATCTATCTCATCTTATCAAAAATAGTGTTCCCAACACTAAATAATTATCACTTACCCGTTGCTAACGCACTTTAACTAAGCGTAACTTCTTCGTTACAAATCCGATTAGGGTCAAGTTCGCGCTCATGCGTCCGTAATAACGAGTACTATTTAATTACGATAATAGAAAACATAAATTAAATGCCGAAATAACAACGTCCACGTTAGGTTCCACTATGCCAAACAAAAGCATAATCGTCATTTTACACAATCGGGAAGGAAATTACATGGAAAATTAGGGACGGGTCGTCACAGGTAAAACAAACAAACAAAAGTGTTATTTAAAAAATTGTTGCCAATGAAAGTAGAAAAACATAGAAAAGCAAAAACAGAGTCTACCATGCTTCTAAAAAATGCTCACTTAATGAACTTTTCAAATGACAAGTACACCCCCACATATTTTACAAAATTATAATCTTTGCCTCTTTATTATTGTATTTGACAATTATTATATCACATTAAATACTATATTCTTTTTAGTCATGTAACATTTTCAAAACAATTTATATAAAAATTTACCAAATACTCAGACACTGCTTTTTTTAATTAAAAGCACTTTTACAAAAAAAAAAAAAAAAAAAAAAAAATTTACCAAACACTTAACAACTTTATTTTACAACGGTTTATTCTTACAGCAATACCAAACTAGCCCTTAATGTTGTTAATATTCTTGTATTCAATAAGAGAAATTCTCCCAATTTTTAGTGCAATATCAAACACCCATTTACGTTCTTATCAAACATCTCTTGTTTCTAACATTTGGTATCAAAGAACCACCAGGGGGCCAGATCAAAGCTTGAAACACATTAGCTCGTTTAGCGTGCAGCAGCAACGACATGGCAGCTGAAAGCAGCTATGTGCAACTTGCAATTCCAAAGTTTGATGGACACTATAAATACGTAACCATGTTCTTCCACCTTACACTACATTTCAATATTTTCAAATGGTTTCTGTCACATCCTGGCCCGGGCCCCCACCACAACCCGGGCTCGATTTCACCGTAGCACGATATTGTCTGCTTTGGGCCCCAACCAAGCCCTCACGGTTTTGTTTCTGGGAACTTATGAGCAACTTCCCAGTAGGTCACCTATCCTGGGAATGCTCTCGCCTGAACTCGCTTAACTTCGGAGTTTTGATGGAACCCAAAGCCAGTGAGTTCACAAAAGGTCTCGTGTTAGGTAGAAATGAGAATATACATATAAGGCTTACAAGATCCACTCCTTTGGGTGATGTGGGATGTAACAGTTTCAACCGATCTTTTATTATTAGCCTTGATGTCTATGTATTTGGTTGTAGAGACCTCTTTATCCTTCAACCATGTTTCTCCCCGCATGGTTGGGTAAGGTTTCTTTGAGGGCCTAATCCTACAATAGACTCTTTTCTCACCAATTCATCCTGTGTCAAAACATCTATTGAACATGTGGTTCACTTGTCAAACATGTGGTAAACATCTATTACACGAACTAGGTCACTAGGACCACGTTTTGTGTATGTCTTTATCTGTTGGATGTATTTGATTACGTCCCTAGGACTACGTTTTGTGTTGGTCTTTATGGGAAATTTGAAAACGTAATCAAAATTTGGATCTCATATAGAATTATAGCCACTCTTTAAAGTTTATGATCATTATAACCAGAAAATGATAATTATAACCAAAAAAATGATATGAAAGTACTTATATGCCCTTAATCACTATAAACTTCCTCACTCTTAACCATAAAGAAAAACTGCACCTGCCATTTTTTCTGAAGAACAACATAGGTCGTCCGTTCTTAATGCTAAGGCATAAAGAGAGTAACTAATAAATTAAAATTGTGTCCAATAACTTCTCCGACCTTTTCTAACTAAGTGCTTTTAATGAGACTTCAAGAAGATCAGTCGATTAAGGAAGAACTGCTGCTTTCAGATGGTACACCGATGAAAAGAGAACCTCGATGCAAGCAGCTTGGATTTCCAAGTTCGTCACCATGTGGAGTATTTGACACCACATGTAAGAGTAAAAGTGAGACGTGTGATCTTAAGAGCCAGAAACTCACAAATCTAAAAGCTTTGAAATCTACCAATGATGGAATGATTAATCGGGAATACCTTAACCGAACGGAGGAGACATGAAGGAGTGTAGCTTCACTGCCACTATCAACAAATTTCACAAAAACCTCAGCGAAATCGACAAAGTAAACAGATTTTTCCTGAAAGAGAAGTGTACAGATAGACATAAATACGAAATGAAAATGAAAAATCGAGAGTTCTGCGGACATGCTACTTACTGGAGATGGTGGCGACGACGGCTGGCGGTTGGATCAATTTCTTCACCCGCAATGGCGTCTTGCTTTTTGGCAAATAAAAGTAGACCTCATTTTAAGGGTATACTAGTATTTTTGTATCAACTATTGGTTATAATTATCTTAAACTTAAAAGGGTAGCTATAATTCTATATGATGTCCAAATTTTGGTTATTTTTCCAAATTTCCCAGTCTTTTTATACGGTGATTGTTCGTCATCCCTGTATATACGAGTTTTCGATTTCTCATGCACCACAAAATTGCACATGCTTAACTCATTTACTTTAATAAAGGAAAGTGATTTACGATCCCTCTTTCTCCCCCTACACTTCTCATTTCATGTAGCCTTAGGATTAAATAAATCAAAAGGGAACCAAGAAACAAAAACAAAATGAGGAACGTAGAAGGAGAAGACAAGGCTAAAAATCACGACAACAACCACAACCAAGCCTTTTCAACATTAAGTTGTGTCGGCTGGCTGTATGAATCATAAAATTTCACCGTGAACCCTTCGATAACAAGGTGAAACTGGAAAAAAGCAAAAATCATTCTCAGAAGATTCTTGGGTTTTTAGTCATTAACATTAAATACTATATTCTTGTATTATAGTATTTCAAAATTAAATACTTTCTTGGGTTTTTAGTCATTTAACGTAATGTTTGAAAAGTTTAATGTTTGGTACAACCAAGCCTTTTCAATATTAAGTTGTGTCGGCTGGCTGTATGAATCATAAAATTTCACTGTGAACCCTTCGATATCGATAACAAGGTGCAACGGGAAAAAAGCAAAAACCATTCTCAAAAGATTCTTGGATTTTTCTCAACTATACATAACTTTTTCAACCAGGAGATGTGAGATCTTAACATACTGTCATTTGCAGGATATCATTCCACTGTGTATTACAACATCATAGTAACACCATCATAGACACAGCAATAACATCATCTCACCAATTCAAAACGTAACCGCCATATATACATCATCTAAAACATTACTTACCAAAACATTTCATTATACAGAGTACAAAATACAATTGAAATCAAAAAATCAAACTTCATGTCTATTTAACTGCAAGAGTGTAAACTCACCTCCTATAAAACCCTCTATCCTTAAAAGCAGCTCCATCTTTTCGGCTCTTGTTCAGTATCAGAGTCCGTTCCCTTTCCTTCTCTCGCTTCTCCCTTTCCAACCGTTCTTCTCTCAATTCCTCCAATGTCTTCTTCCCACTCTTGTTCTTCTTCTCTTTATCTGCTCTTGATGATTCATCATCTTTGGCACTCTCTTCATTTGCATCCGCACTCAGCCTGTCAAGGTACCAAGGCAACTTAACTCCTTTGCCAGCAACTCCATAACCCAACCTATACTTTTCATCTTCTGCTGTCACAACCCTCGGCTTCGCCTCCTCTTTCTTCATCTTCTTATTCTTCTTAAATCCATCTTTACCCTCACCTCCCTCATTCTCCAACCCCTTAATAGGACAAAAAAATTTAATCCCTTCGAAGAGATTAATATGACCAGGCTTTGATTCCACTGCAGCAGACTTCGAACCTACTGCAGCAGACTTCGAATCCACTGCAGCAGGGTTTGATTCCATTGCAGCAGGCTCCTTCCCTTGGCTCACCGGAGCCAGGCCACGAGCAGTCCGGAGCTGTTCAAGGCGAAACTCAGCATCCCGCTTTCGTGACTGTTCACGCTTGAGCTGCTCCTCTTTGGCGGCAGCCTCTTCGTCCTGCCGTACCTTCTCTCTGTTATCGAAGTTGTACACATTCCACCGCTTCTGAGGCAGAATATTCAAACCTCCATGACCTCCCATCACAAATTTTAAACTCCAATTGTACACTCACCTGCGTAGAATATGTAAAACCATCATTCGGCCTTTCACAAAAGAAGGGGTTAAATTTTAGGGTCTCAGAGGCCTCTGTGGAATTGGGTCTTCCAAATTAATCATAGGTATGCAAAAGAAAGACGATTTCAAGGTAAATTAGTGAATTTATTAGAACTGGTGAATTTAAGACGAAATTGGAAAATCCAAATTAAATAGAAATTAGGGTTTTGCTGCAACTAAATACAACTGGTGAATTGTGCAAATCGAAGAAATAGGAATATAATAAGAAAACATAACATGTATAAATCGAAGCAAAACCAGAGACGATAATAACTTACAGTTTCTACTTCAACCGGGAAAATCCCAGGAGCGATAAAGTTCTCAGAAGCGTAAAAGGTCCCTCGCCTGCTCCAGCGAGGTTCGGTTGTGCGTTATTTATACTTTCGTTGGATTTCATTTTATTTTATTTACGAGTTTGCCACCCGGCTGATTTCAGCCCAAATTTCGATTAATTTACAAGATTGCCACTGGGCTTAAGAACGGGTCTTCACTCTTTGGGCTGGATCTGGGCTTTGACTCTGGGAGAGAGAGGGAAGGGCGACAGAAGGGTTGAGAGGGAGAGGTTCGCCGGGATTTCGGAAGGGACATGCGGGTGGGTGTCCTGTGGCTGATGCGTCGATCAGAGGGTTGTTCGGGGGGAGGAGAGGAGGGAGACTGAGGGGCTGACGGATTGGAGAGAGATGGGAGGTACGGGTTTGGACTGAGTGAGAGAGGGATTTAGCTAGGTCAGGACCTATGGGATTTTCTCCGATTTTATCCTGGTTCGGCTGCTGGGTTCACTATCAGTAAAAGGCACATGAAATATGGCATTGATTTCAGAGCCTTTGATTTCCCAGATTGTCTTCACATATCGATTGTCATCTTAATTTAATTGTAGTTACTCTTTCAAAGTTTGTTGTTGCTTAGCTTTTTCAAATGGTAGCCCTAGTATTTGCCCAGTATTTTTTTGTGAATTCCAAACTTTGCTTATAATTGTAGGTACGTAAAAGCTGGCAATTGGATTTGTTCCCCAGATGATAATGGCATACTAATATAGTGATTTTTCTTCTGCTTAATTTCTCATCCGATAACTTCAATATTAATAGAGTCCAATTAACATCCACATTGGAATGACAATTGAGAAATGCAATGACATACTTCTAATTCCATTCTCAATAATTGTCTTAGTAACAATCAAGAATTGAATGACATGTTTCTCATTTTTTGTTTCTGTTACAGATATACAAATGATGATGAAGGCTTTTGGTCACTGGTCTTTGGAGAAACAGAGGCATGCATATAAAAGATGTAATTGCCTAGAACCTTTGTTTCAGTTGAAGCATGTCATCAAAGAGAGTAGTCAATTAACAGTTGCCAATTGATATTAGGTCTTAAATATAATTTTAGCTTTCATTTTTTTTAATAAATTAAAATTTTTTTACAGAGTTTTATTTTTATGTAAGATGGGTGAAATATATATATATATTTTTTTTTTTCCTTTTTGCAATATTACTTTGATTTGCAGATGTGTCATTGCAGCAATACTAGATATATTTTCTATTTAAACAACATCCTAAATATTTTCATACTGCATGTCGTGCTGGTAACCTCAAACAAATATGTCAAACATTTTTTTTCTAAATTGTTGTAGTGTTTCCATTTTTTGGTGCAGAGCTCCACGATTGGCTAGCGTGAATCCTGGAATCTTCATATGCATGCAATGTTCAGGGATCCACAGGAGTCTTGGGGCACATATATCAAAGTATAATTTTCGGTTATGCAAAAACTTCAAATTCGTTTTATTATTTGTATGGTACTCAACTCCATATTTTATGCGTTATGCTAATGAGTTTCGGTTCTTTTTTTTCCTGCATTATTCTGATGATTTGGATGCTTTTGTAGGTGAGATCTGCCACTTTGGATACATGGCTCCCAGAGCAGGTTGCATAAATCCAATGTAAGTACCAATGCTCTTTTTACCGGCTTCTTTCCATTCTGGTAGTAAGGTCATATCTCTGTCAAGCAAGGTCACACTGAGAGTGAGAACACCAAGGGCACACTCTCTTACCCTCACTGACCCAGAAATGGTATTTGGTTGGGTGTTTGAGTGTAGCGTATTATCATTGGGAGTGTTCAATCTCCTTCACTACATAAACTACTTTTCATATCAAATGATGTGAGTTAGTTTGTTCTTTTTTTTAATGTTAAGCTAATTTGTGCACCCTAATTTGTTCAAGAGCGTCTCATCATCGTGGGAAAAGAAAAAAACGTAATAAATCAGAAAATTAAAGAGGGGGATTTGATCATGACTTTATTTGATAATTAATTCGTAACACTTTAATTTACATGAACAACTTTTACATTTCCTGTTAAATATTTGTTGGTGTTGGACCTCATATTACATGTAACGTGTGATGTTCTTTATGTTTGCTAAAAAGAAAATGATTCATCGTATATGCATGGTGTGTGCCTCAGTTGGTGGATGGCTAATAGGTGAAGCTACATAGAAGAGCTTTTGTTTACCCACTGCTTGATGTGGGATTTGCATGAAAAAAAAAAATGAATCATTTGTGTTACCTTAATTTTTGTGCAAATCATACAACTTTGGTGATCTGAAATGTTTAAGTTTGTCTTGTAAATTGTACAATGCCTTTTTACCGACACTGTTTACTCATCTATCCCTTTATTCATTCATGATTATGTTTTTTTTTTTTTCAGGTTAAATGTGTCTTATTCATGTAGTTAAAGTTGGTGCATTCAAGTCCTATAGCAACATGTGGGCATATTACTAGTAAAACCTAGAGCTGGAAATTTTTCTCGAAAATTTCAAACCAAATAAAACCCGATCCCATACTGAAAAAGTTCCAAACCGATAATACCGAAATTTTTGGGATCCATACCGAACCTTTCGGTACAGGAATTGGGATTACAAATTCAATGGTTTGCGAATATCGAACTGAGTCGAAAATATATATGTATAGTTATTTTGGTTGCATGCATGTTGAATGTTGAATTTAAGTAATTTGAGAGTAGATTATATTAGAAATAGAAGTATGAAATCTATAACTTCCAAAGATCCATATTATGCTTCTATAACATCATACTAAAATTTCATTACAATCCAACGGTTGGATATCTGTCAATTGCAAATTCAAGTGGCGGTTAACGTTTTATTTTATGAACTTACAAATCCAATTAGGGAAGCTCCATACATAAGATTCCTGATCCGTAAGTTCCTAATGTCCTCAAATATTACATACTATAATGTATTAAAGTTTGGTATCGAACCAACAGTCGGATCGTCACTTCAAATAATAATCAAGTGATGCGCCATAATGAAACTAGGTTCACAATAATCAATTCACATCATATAGATATCAAATATAAACTCAGGGCATCTAATAGGACTTAGAACGACATCGTCAATTCGTTGGCCACTAGCCACCACAAGTGGCAGTCGGCCGCCCCGTCTAGCTGAAAAATTTAACTATTTCTAAAAATTCTCAAATTTCTTAGAAATGAAGATATTAATGAGTGGAGCAACTTTTATACCTGTGACTAAGGCCAATTTAGCCGGGAAAAACCCTAATTCCACAAAAATCCGTCGGAAACCCTATAAAGGGTGTGCTTCAATTCGTCGACTCCAAAGCTCCACCGCCCCAACCACCGGTTGGGTCTTGTTCCTGGGTCCAAGGGAAGGCTAGTGATGGTGGCAATCATAAGAAATAGTTGCAAGATTGGTGGATCTCGAGCAATGGCATCCGCGGCACCCATGATTATTTCCTTCATGAATCTTAACCAATTTGTATCGATTTTAGCTAGTAATGGATGTTGGGATGTGGTGATGAGGTTTGGAGGTGGGGAATGGATGAAAATCACCTGAAAATTTGATGGGTATCACTGGAAAATTCCACTGGTTCGAAACTGAGTTGTTGTGGGTGCACGGGTCGGTTTGGTTGGTCACTCCCTCTTTCTCTTCTTTCTAATTGGGCGTCCTGCCCCTCCTTTCCCTCTTTTATTTTTCATCTCCACTGCCCATCCTTTCTTCATTTTAATCTGGGCCACACACGTGGCTTCCAAATTTTGCTCCCAAAATTTTGGAGCTTTCTTGAAATTAATTAATATACTAAAATGCCCCCAATTTTAAACGTTAATAACTCCTTCATTATAACTCCAAATTGCGTTTTGTTTGCGCCCATGTGTTCATAGCGACAAGAACTACGAGGATATGCCCAGAAAACGAGTCTTACGTGACACGACACGATACGATAGTCAACAAAAGTCAACACTTTGCCTCGAAGGGCATTTTCGTAAATTCACTTATATTAAAATTATATAAACCATAAAATTGGGATGGGTCATTACAATCTACTCCCCTTAAAAAAAATTTCGTCCTTGAAATTTAAAATACTTGCTAAATGTAAAATACTCGAAATAGGGAGAAAATATGTATGTAAATGCATACACAAGGAAGAAATTGAGTTAAAGCGGCTGCATAAAGAGAATCTCATTCTGCCACGATCGGATTGCAATTATTCCTCTTTCATGCCTCCAAGCTCATACCTTCTTCCTTCCTCAATAATCTAGTAGTATAATACCCGTATAAACTGTAAGGTTGAAAACACCAATTATTGCGTATGAACATAAGGAAAAAATATACATGTAATAAAATATCAAAAATACAGTTATATATATATATATATATATATATATATAAACATACGATTCAAGTATGGATGTTTAGTTTAAAACCAAGAATGGAAATAACTCACCCAAAATTTGTTATGGCAGAAATACCCATGTAAATAAAATATTTGCACGAGAAATCAAAAGTCAAAATGAAAATGGACCTCACCAAACATTCGTCGTGTCACGAACTTCGAGGATGAGTCTGAACCATAACTAACTAGTAAGTGTTGCCGTAGATGAGCCGTCTTGCCCACTTGCTTAGTGAATCCAACAATTAAGCCATCAATATTACAGTTTGCAGCTTGTAATGCCGATAACTCATCGTCATCTCAATAAGCTAGTGAGAAGTTCTCGAGGATGCCAAAATATTGTTTTGCTCCTCGTGCGAATATTCCTAGATCGTCTAATTCATGCCTCGATCGCGATACCGTACTATCCTAAAGCGCACCAAAGCAACTGCTAGAACTGTTTTGACGTCCACATTCCCACAACAATAAACCCTGGAGTAAAGCAGTGGAAATATACGTGGAGACGAACACATATTGTGAAAAGCTTCCTTTGTGATTAATCACTAGAGTTGTTCTCCAAATCGAAGGGTACAAGATCTGCAAGCTTAAATTAAAGAAACCATATCTCTAACGACATTCTTCGGATGATAGTTGCAATTTCAAGTCACACTTGAAAATTAATGCCACAATCGCCAAGCTCATAACCTACA